TGCCAGACCTCATCGTAAGTCACTTTTTTACCTCTGTCCAGAGATTGCTGTAAACTCTGTAGCATTTACCTTTGTACTTCCAAATACATTTTCATGGCATTGCTGTATCAGTCTTCTGTTTGTCATGTTGTCACCACTCAGTGTTTCAGCATGTAACAGTATCTTTTTTCTAAACCATAGCATTCCAAAACATGCCTGGTGCTATCCGCCCAGCAGCACCCAGACCACCTTTCAGTACCATGAGACCAGCTTCTTCCCAAGTTCCACGAGTCATGTCAACACAGCGTGTTGGTGAGTTTGATTTATGCAAACTCTAAGTGTTAGACTTCTGTTCCAATTTTGATGGTTTAGCATGATCTTGAAAAAATAAACATTGCTAAGTTTAATATCACAAGTGATATTCCTAATGTAATACCATTTTCTAGTAATTACTTTAACTGCTGTCCCAGCAAAGACTCCAGCTGTGATCCCATCTCTTCAGGATGAAGTACTTTTGTGTGTGCTTCAGTAATACTGGATGATGGCTTCTGTCATTTCTAAACATAGTTGCAGCAATTGTAATAATAGGTTGCATATAGAAATACTGAGATGATACAATTCTAGGTCTTAATTTGTTATATTTCACGTATACATATTTTATTGTTGTGAGAGAGTATCATGAATGCAAAATCTGCACATCACTGAATGAACCAGGATTGACTGTATTCATTGAATGGTTTGGGTTGGAAGGACCCTTAAAGCTCATGTAGTTCAACCCCCTGCCAGAGGCAGGGAACCCTCCACTAGACCAGGGTACTCAGAGCCCTATCCAGGCTGGTCTCTAACATCTCCAGGGATAGAGTCCACAACCTCTCCGAAGGCATAATTCTCCCAGAATGTATCAGGCAGCCATCTACTTTCTAAAAGTATCTTTTTTAGAATGACTGATGTAATGTGTTCAGGAAATCAAATGTCCTTTAGTTTATAATGAAATTATATTAATACTCAAAAAAGTGGATTTTTTATCATGGATCTTTTTTCAATGGCATGTAAAAAGGGCAGTTCATGAATGAAGTGACTGGAAAGTAGCATCCAGTAAATTTCAAGGTTTGAACCTTTGTATGTGACCAGTGATGTGACAGTTGATAAAACTACTAAGATGAATCTGTAACACAATACCTAAATTAGGTGTTTGGCTCAAGTTGATTTGTTGGGCAAAATAATTATAATAATAATTATTCACATCTGGAATTGTTACTATTTTTTCAGCTAATACATCAACACAAACGATGGGTCCACGTCCTGCAGCAGCAGCTACTGCAGCCACTCCTGCCGTGCGCACAGTACCACAGTACAAATACGCTGCGGGTGTTCGCAATCCTCAGCAGCACCTCAACACGCAGCCACAGGTTGCTATGCAGCAGGTATGTGATCTGGGGAACTGCTCTGTGCTTTTACTGATGTTCTTTCTGTGCTTTTACTGATGTTCTTTCCAAAGGAAGGTGGTGAGGGTGATGGGAGGGAAATTCAGGCTCTGCATCATGGCAGTAGAGTAAAAGCACTAGAGAGTTAAGTATATTTGAAGTTCACCTGGGACAGGATACAATCCCATGCTGCGTCATACTTTCCAGTTCCCTCATACCTTAGCCTAAATTCTTGTGCTTGCTCCTCGGTTTCTAATATTCCTCAGCATCATCACTCAGCTCTAACCAGTAGTATTTGATTAAATAGACATAGTTGTTAATTTCTTTGATGTTTCTGACACTGTAGGCATTGTGTATGCTGAGTTGTGAAATATTGGCTGTTTGAAGCTGCACCTAATTATGAGCCAGGGTTTAATTTTAAAATGTTATTAAAATTAATTTGCAGCCTGCTGTCCATGTGCAAGGTCAGGAACCCTTGACTGCTTCCATGTTGGCTTCTGCCCCTCCACAAGAACAAAAGCAGATGTTAGGTATGTGCATGATACCTTTCTCTATGTATTGTAGCAAAAGGACAGTTAAAAGTACACTTTTTCAATCTTAACATGCAGAGTAAATGGTTTTAGCAGTAGAACAAGTTGGTTTCCCTTATCCCTTCAATATAAGCTGGATTTGTCCCTACTTAAGTTTTTTCTCTCTAGGTGAACGTCTATTCCCTCTTATTCAAAGCATGCACCCTACTCTGGCGGGTAAGATCACTGGTATGTTGTTGGAGATTGACAACTCTGAACTCCTCCACATGCTCGAGTCTCCCGAGTCTCTTCGTTCGAAGGTAGGTGGACTTTTGCCTTGTACTGCTTCCGTAGGTGGTTAAGTCTACGCTGATCTAACAGCTGTTCGTGCTGGCACAGTGGAGTAACAGCAATGCAGCAGTGGCTCAGGGCAAGAGTATCCTCTTCCAGAGGGTGACACTGACTTACATGGATGAACTGGAATTGTAATGTTCTCCTTTATCTTTTCAACAATGCAGGCATTGTTTATACGTGTGATTTCCACTGTATTATTAACTTAAATATAAACTGCTAAGCTTCCCTTCATTTATTTCTCATTTGTACATAACAGGTTGATGAAGCTGTAGCCGTACTACAAGCCCACCAAGCTAAAGAGGCTGCTCAAAAGGCAGTCAATAATCCCACTGGGGTTCCAAGTGTTTAATAGGTAAGTTTGGCCACTGTAGTTCCATAGGTTGACTGGGGCAAGTCTTTGGTCCATGGCCTTGAAAGCAGCGTGTGTCCAGGCTCTGTGTCATGTGCAGCCAGAGGAAGTAGCAGCTATGGTAAACAAACTTCTGTGCTCAGTTGGTTAGCAAAAACTACTGACGTGTCATTGTTTCTAACAACACATTTATCTTGAATTAGTTCTAGGCATGTGTGCAAAAACAGGCAGTTCTACCAAATGCTACTGTTGAGAACAACTTGTGGAATTGAAATAAGCTTGAAACAACCCCCTTTTTCCTTAGGAATTAAAGAGCTTGTTTACACTGTAGTTTGTATATAGTTACCAAATTCTAAAATTGTACAGTAAGTGAAAACTAAACTACATATTGTCTTGACTTCACATTTGGGTGAATTTAATGTCAGTTAAAATAGTGATTTTTCTTCATTGCCTTCTGTGGGGCTGATATCTTAATTGTGCATGACAGCGGCAAATGGTCTTACCTTAATTTTGGCAGGGAAAAAGTGTGAAGTTGAGGATAAAAAGGAATCCATTATCTCTTTTGTCTAGTTAGGTTTTGCCTGCAAATGTGCCTTCTGCATTTGTAGCTGTAACATTTGATCACATAAAATTTTTCCTTTTTTCTTGATATTTTAATTTCTGTAATTTTCCTTTCAGAGGCAGAATTTGAGTAATGATTTTTAACATTTCTGTTTCAATACTTATTTTTTGCTAGTGACACTTTCACTACAGAGATAAGTGCTGAATAGGTTGTTTCTCCTAAACTAAGGCACCCATACTTTGAGGCCATTACTCTGTTTTAGCAACTGGAAATTGAAAATACTGCTAGGGTAGTTATTTGATGAGCCTCAGTCTGCCGGCCTCAAGAGTAGAGGTGACGTGCACTCAATCACGGTAACACTGTGCTTAAAGTGGAGCTGTCTGAGGGATTCTCCAGTTCTAGAGTCAGTGTTGTCTTGACATGGATCACAGACTTCTGAGTATTTTTGTGTCCCTAAAAAGAGGGAGGCCTTCTGATATTCTGTTTCTAAAGAACTTTGGTATCATTTAAACTCAGTGAAAGCCCAGAGTGCTGCATGGTGTACAGTAGTAGTAAACAAGTCAGAAAACATACAAGGTGCTGCATTTGTTTTAAAACATAACACCATTGTTTTTCTTTGCAGAACTATCCGGGACTACAATCTAGAACTTCGCTTCACCGAAGAAAAAAAAAAATCTAAACATGGAAAAACTATTAAATATTGAGAAAAACATTGCAAAATATAAAATAAATAAAAAAAGGAAAGGAAACTTTGAAGCTTACGTACAGAGCAACGCCGGGGCTAGCAAAACAAATGCTAGCCCTAGATTACTTATTGATTTAAAATTTAAAAAAAAATAGTAAAATAAAAAATACAAATTAATGTTTTATAAACCCAGGGGAAAAGAATTTTCAGCACAGTACAAAAATTTAAAGCATTCCTTTCTTTAATTTTGTAATTCTTTACTGTGGAAAAGCTCAGATTATCACCACTGTTTTAGTTGACAGTGAGAATTGATAGCTGAGCAAAGAAACATAATTTGGATTATAAAATTCTTGGTTTAATAAAAATTCCTTAAACACTGACTGACTTGTGATGGTTTTTTTTGTACAGTCTACTTTTCATAAGCTTGTCACCCAGAATGCCAAGTTAGAATCCCATTCTATAGTATGTTTTGGTGGATTGTAGCGAAGATAAGCCTACACCTGTAGACTGTCTTCTAAATAACAGAAGTGAAGGGAGGGGGGAAGTGTTTGGGTTTTTCTTAACAAATTGTGCTGCTTGACCTGTCTCTGCTCTACTGCACAATAGCACAGGAATAATTCTGTCTTCACTCAGGGATGATGGGGTCATCAGGTCAGTTTGTGTCCCTAAAGGGGGTTTGCAGTGAAATGGCCAATGACACTAAAGTGGGAAGAGGGAGCACTAACACGTGAGCTATTTCATTTGCTACAGAACTGTACTGAGATTGGGAGTTTTACTTAAATGTGTAACCAACCTAAGTGTTAAATGCATGAACAAGAGACAGAGTAAAAGGGCTTTTGTTGTAAAACAAAATTCCACTGTGTGAGTTAGCAGATACTCTAAAGTTTGTCCATCCACAGATGTGTTATCCTACAGTTGCTGCCTTGCTTTTTTGTTTTCTCCTTTCTACAGACCTGTGGAATAAAAAGGGGTATTTTCTACCCAGTTTAGCCCATAATTGGCTGTATAAGTTGCTTTTTCAAAATTGATAATGCAAAGGGAGAAATGAAGAAGTGAAAATGGCATGCCCTGCTTTTACAAAGAAGAGGGTAAAACCTGTCAGGCTGGGCTGGGGAAGAGGCACAAAGATCTGTTGGTCATGGAGGAAGATGTGAGAGGTAACCGCTGCAATCTCTGGGTTTCAGTTGCTATATGTAAAGAATACAGATTCTATGGAATTCACAAATGCCAGTGTTCTCTGATCTGTTGCAGTCAAAGCCCTTCAGTATGCTTCCTGAAGTCCCCCAGAAGACAGTTCAGGAGCCCCCTTATTTTTCCTCTCTTGCAAAGGGGAAAATCTTCAGGTTTCCTGTTATAGAATTTGAGAAATAAGCCTAACATAGTAAGGTGAAAGTGATGTGGTGTAAATGGAATCTAACTAAAATCCTTTGCTGTAAATGCATTAGGTTAAACTTGTGTAATTCTTACACTCAGTCCTGTCCTGATTGCAGTAGACTGGGATAGCCTTTAATTTGTGGTTTTGCTGAGGTGTGTGACTAGAATTAAGAATATTTGAAATTGCAAGGTAAATCCTACAAAAGAGGCAGTTCAAGCAAGATACGTATATGTTAAGAGGCTGAATGTATAACCTTGATTTTATGTAATGTCAACTATAAAAACATTTAAAGTTTGGAGACTGTTTTAATGACCTAAAAATATTTAGCGCCATAATGGGAATGCTGAAGAATCTGATGATATTAAAGGTTTAATGGAAGGTCTAAAGGCTATTACAAAAACCTGTTTTCAGGATTCTCAGGGTACTCGCAGGAAAGTAAGAGGCCACTTCTCACTTCTTGTTTTCCTAGATAGGTTGTGTGTTCTGTGAGTCTGCTGGAGTTAACCAAACTAATTTTTTGTCTTATAAGAATGAGCAAGTTACTTAATGTCTTACCAATGGGGAAACTGAAAAAGGAGGAGAACAGGAAGTCTTCCCATTTGTACAGGAATTTGTACACCTCCTGTAGGTGTGTCATGCACTAGCATTTGTACCAGCATGAAATACTGGGTAACCTCTGTGATGGGAGGGAACAGTGAGGCAATTCTGCTGAGGTGATCATGGCAGCCTAAGAAAAAGGCTGTGGGTTGATTTGGTTTATTTCTTCACAGTCCTGATTACATGGTAATTCCCTGCTGTATACCACAGATGCTTATTCAATAAATGTCTTCTATTTTATGTCTAAATCTTAAAGATAGCAAATAAGGCATTTATCAGTGCTTCTACCAGTGCATCCTTGGAGCACTACTGTAAAACAATGCAGCATGCAGAAAAATCATTTTTTTCAATAGTGGAGAACTGGACCTTTGAATTAATAGGCAGCCTGACTGGCAGGCACTTCTGCTGCCACACGTTCTCTCTATTATGTGTCTCAGAGGCTTACACTGATCCTCTGCACACTGCAGCCAGTCAGTGCTAAGCTGATTTTGCTGGAACCTCTGGCATTTCATTACTTCAGTCTTTCTGTGTCTTCCATCCTAACCACAGCAAACACTTCAGAATTTAGCAGCAGCCAAAAGCCTGCTTGTGAAATTGGTGGTGATTTGAATGAATGAACGAATGAGTAGTATTGTATTTGCCATCGCTTTCCCAAGCAGGACATGGCTTTATGAGCAACTAAATCAAAGGTTTGGTGCAGAGGTAATCTGGATTGTGTGTATTCTCTTTGCTGCTCTGCTGAAGTCTAGAGAATTCTGAGTTCACTGGGTCCAGGGGAGGAGGGGGCAAGGTGGTGGAAATAAGGATGATCTAGAGTCTGACAATGTCTTATTGCCAGTTTGTGCCAATTAGGTGTCTACCCTTGAACAATCCTTGCATCTTGAGTGTCCTTGGTAACAGTCTAATGATTGTGATGGACAGCTGGATGTTCAAAGGTGGCCAGTTAACATTTTGAGTTAGGAGTGTTGGGAAAAAGATTTCCTGAAATCTACATCTGGTAGACATATTTGTGCTTGGGATAACTGGAAAAAAAAGAAAAAAAAAGAAAAAAAAGGTCCAAAACAAGAAGGATTTGTATTTCTTTTCAATAGGTTTAGGAGTTTTGATCCAAACTAATATACTAGAGAAGAGCCACAGTCCTCGGGACCACAATTCTCCCTAGACTTTCATAGTTATATGTGAGTCCATGTGGTGTGATTACCTCACTGAAGAAAGCTTTTAGTCTCACTTTTTTTCTATGGGACGTGGTCAATGAGAAAAGTAGATGTATGGAAATGAAAACACAGCTGGCAGGGTTACAAATCCTTAGGATATTGCATTTGAAGTGAATACAAATTTAAAACACACGTTTCCAGCTACACTAAGAACACAAGATGTGCATGTAGTTACAACTTGGACAACAAGAACTAAGGAAGAATATTTTCAAAAAACTAATTTGAAATTTAGATTTTTCACTTGTATTGGGATTGAAAGTAACCATTAAGAGAAAAAAAGAATTGACAAGCTAGGCCAACATAATGGCCTTTTGTACATTAAGTACTAAGAGCAGTACATCTGCCAAGTGGTCTCCTATTTCCCATGTCACCTGCTAAGGAAACATCCCTAATCCTGTCATGTACCAATTGGCTATAGCTGGCCAGACATCTGTGCTTTTTTATAGCTCTGAGCATGTGCTAAAATATACCATGTGATATCTGTGCATTCAAAAACGAAAAATGATGCCCTAGACAGGCTAAATAGCTGTGTCACATTTCAGTAACTGGGACCTTGGGTTACATGTGTTCTAGGTTAAACTTGATATAAAACAGAGGTTACTCTTCAAAACGTAAGCCCCAAGCATATTATGTTGTCACATCTGTAAGTGGAAGCTTACTTAATCCTGTCTCTTACCACTGTCGGAGATTTGCCACCTGTGGCAAATTTCTAACACCAAAGATTAAACTGTAAATAAGCCACCTACTTCCCCCCGCCCCTTTGTCCTAGGGTGGGACAAAGGCAGAGACTATGGGTTGGGATAACAATTTACTGAAAGCAACAAGCAATGGAATAAGAAACATACAGTAACAGCAACAATATTAGTAACAAGAGTATATATAAAAAAAGATGCTTTACCCACAAAAAGATGTTTACCACCTCAACTTAGTTCCATGTGGCCCTGGAACAGCACGATAGTGGCCAAGATGGTGGTTGTTCTCTTGCTGCCAGCTCCCTCCTGTCCCAACTCTGCTCAGCTCCTTTCAGCTCAGCTTGGCTCAGCTTCCTCCAGCTCAGCTGGATTGGGGCTCACCCCCGCTCCTCAGTTCCCCAGCACTGTCCTTCAGCACCATATGGATTCTGTGTTCTGATGCTTTTTCTTTAGCACCATGTCCTGTAGCTGTGTCTCAGAGAAAAAAGGAGGAGACAGCAGTGATGGCAGAGGACGGGGTCCTCAGGGCTGATGCCAACAGCCTTCCCACTGGGGAGAGGGAGGCAAAAATGGTGCACTTGTTGGAAATTTTACAACTTTTAAATTTTTTTTATGTAGCTTTAGTCAGGGGATTGTTCACCTTTGCCCCAGGGAAAGGAGAATTGAAGTTTCTCTTCAAAAGGCTGTTCATCAATGCTAGGTGAGGTGAGGCCCGATGAGTTTAACATCTACTGTTTGGGAGTAGCCACAAGATACACAGGAGATAAATATAAACATCACCCTGTGGTGTGGTCAGAGACACTTGGTTTGGGAAAAGATTGGTAAGAGAACCACAGAATGAGGACCATCATTCTATTAGCATCAAAGGCAAAGGGATCAATAACCAATAGGAGATTGAATGTTAAGAATTGTGTAATTTAGGCCCAATGAATGAGAATTTCTTTGGGGTTTTATGTATAAATATGTGAAAGGTCTGGTAGAGAACTAAGTATGATGGAGTGATTTTCGCTGGGTTCAGTGCAGAACCCAGGCATGTGTGGATGAAATTATTTCGATTGCACATCCAGGCCAAAATAACATCCTGGTCAGAATAACCTAATGCTAAGTCTCTAACACTGAAAATATGTTGTTGGAGAGTTTGTTTTCCCTGCACTTGTGGTGACACACTCACCTTTGCTTCCCCCCAAAACTCTGTCCCCAGAAATGACGTGGGTGGTATAGAACAGCAACAGAACCACACCATGTCCCCACCCTGCAACCAGGACACCACCAAAATTAGTTGTTCCTCCTCCTTTAGTTTTCAGGAACCAGATTTAGGCAAACGAGAAGAGACCAGCAACCTAGAATGACAACAGTAGAAAACTCCTGTGACCTGGAGTGTAGATCTTTCCTCTGCCTTCCTATACCTCACATTTTCCCATTAAATTCATTCTGCAGGTGCTTAGCCTCCCAGGTTACAAAAGTGGATATATGGATTGGCAAAATGTCTTGGGATACAAACAAGGATGCACACAGCAGCCTTGCTCAGGAGTGTGTGGTAAGCTGGCTAAATGGGAAACAATGGCCAAGCAGCAGCAACTGTCAGCTCCAAGTCCCTCTTTTCCTTGGCCTCTGGGAGAGAGGTGTAGCTGCTCAATTTTGGTCATTAATCCTATGAACAACGCTAGAAAGTTTATGGAGATCAGGCCAGGCAAATTGCAGAGTCGAATGCAAGATTTTTTTTTTTGACAAACTGGGGATTAATCAAGTGTTGGATCTTGAATTGCCTACGTCAATACCTCCGAAGTGACCCCTTCCACACAGAGTTACAAAACAGCTGGAACACAGGCTTGAAGTACTCCAAAGAATAGCGAGCCTCAGGGAATAATGTATAGCCCCAGGCAACAGAAGTGGATTATTTCAGGGTGAATCTGCAAGTTTATCTCTACTTTTGCTTTGCTCCTTATTGAGTTCCCTCTGTCCTTTTGCTCTCTATCATTCCTCTGTATTTCTTAGGAAAGTGAAGGGGGAGCATGTGATGCTGAGCTTTTCTGTGAAAGCAGTGTCTGTCAGCCTTCTCTTGCTAGTTTTCTCTTTGCTCTCTGGCTGGCCTTTGCCAGTCCTTGGCTTCAAGCAAAATCTCTTCTGGCTTCTCTGTGAGTCTGGGTGCACACTGTTTTCTAAGCAGCATACTTTTACCTCACCAGCTCTATTTTAGGGCCCTTTTTGGTGAACTGTTATGCTGGTGGGTTAGGTAGGTGCTTCTCTTGGCAACTTGCTGTGCTCTCAGTTGCAGTGATAGGACCACTCTGAAGTAGTTTTTAAGCCAGTAAACCTGGATGGATATCAATCCATCTCTCCCAACTCTGTGTGACTCCACAGCCAGTTGGAGAAGCACAGCTGAAAGGTAGATGAGTCACAGCAGGGCTGCCATGAGAAGGAATGTTTGCTGAGGTGTGCCCTTGGAGTTGCAGTTCTGCGATTCTGTTCGCTGTGGGACCTCTCACAGTAGTATTTTGCTTTGGTTAATGGAGCATTTTGGATAACCTATCTGAACTAATAAATCAGCTTATGCATTTGCTTCCATTTTTAAAAGGCCTACTGTTTCTTGCTCAACAGGTTTTAACATCATTAGTGCTCTCAGCAAAATTGTTCCCTTCTCTGCATCCCTGGTAACTGAGAGTTTGCCTCCTGCTGGTCTTCAGAACTTGTTGGCTGATTTTTGTTTTCAGTTCCTTCCTTCCTGCTGTTGGTAGCACTTGGTCTTGAAGTTTACAACTGCCATCTCTTAATTGCCTTCCCTATTCTTCTGTGAGGTTGCTTGTCTAAAATTATTATATCCTGTTCTGTTTATCTTGCTTGAAATACTTTTTAATGTAGAAAAATGTACATGTATGAGAAGTCTTACTCCAGGATAAAGGAATTCTCACCACATGTGACCAGATCACATATCATGACCACAGTGTCCCACAGATGCAACAATTCCGTGATGCAAAGAATGTAAATTAGAAATAAAATTCCTTCACAGACTGATTTCTGCATTGCTACATTGAGGGTATTTCTTGAATACTACTCTGGAGGGTCTGTCTCTGTCATCTGTTGGATGAGCTGCTGAATTAATTGTGCCCCTTTCAAGGTAGCAATTTTCAAAGCTCTTCTATTCCACCTCTGCAAGCTCCTGTCCTGACTTGTGAAGCAAAGGGCACATAATTCTTGTTTATGATGCTGTGTCTTATCTGTCCCTTTTCTTTTGCTGTGCATTTTCCTTCTTCCTGTTACTTTTTAGTTTGAGAGTGCTTCTGTTTGACACTCCTAGACACTGCTTCCTTGCTGTCTCCCAGAGCAGCTGTTCTCTTAAAAAGGACAGTCTGAAGGGAGCAGCTGTTCAGAGGTACTGTGTGGTGATGGAGTATACGGTGGTTTGGATACGCTGTTGAATGGGGAGGTGCAGATATACTGACTGTGAGCGACTTACCCCTCGGTGCCTCACCTCCTAAGGGATCTCAGCTTTAAGCTCAGGACCCAAGGAAAATCATATAGAGGGAAGTGTGATCAACTGAGAGCAATATGTTAAAAGAGATCTTGCTTAAAGTGAGTTTCTTAGGTAGGGTTGGCAGAAATGCTGAGGAGAGTGGTGCAACTTTAGCCCTTCTCCTCTTGCATAGGCACTTGGCTGTGGATTGACAGCAGGTGCCTATCTCGGTATGAGGATTTACAGCCTTCACCTTCCTCTGGGAGATGGGGCTTTGTTCGGACTCTCTTAGAGTCCAGAGGTGGTTCTGTGTTCTCCCCTTTGCCTCTTCTTTGAGAAGCTAGAGCATTCAATTTCTCTAGCAATCCAGTTTTCTTTTCCACTTTTCTCTGGATATTTTATTAAGTACTAGAAGAAGGAAGGAGAGCTGAAGGAGCAGTCTGCCTTGGCTTGTGATGAATCCCACACCACACACGTTGGGCTGTTTGCACTTGCTGAACTGAGATTTGTGCAGCCATTCTCCGCAAATGACTGAACACCTTCAGCTGGAGTGTTGATGGCAGATGGATATGCATTTGAAGGATCTAAGTCTTGGCCCTCGATTCACCCAAGGACAGCCAGGCAGTGCTGTGTGCTGTAGTCATGCTGTCTCCTGAGTGTTCTCTGGGTATTGCACACTGACCAGAGCACCCCTAATAGAGCTCTGGGAATTTATTCTGCTTATGGAGAGGTAAGGCTCTCTTGCAAGACTAATTTACGGAAGTTTCTAGAGTGGGATCAAAATAATTTGGACAATGGTTTGTGCTTTAAAAATGTCACTGTAATTCCTTGAAATCAAACAGTTGCTGAAGATCCAGGCCTTTCCTGGTTTCTGTGTTTGTGATGTAATGTTTGCATTTGGCTTTTCAGTTTTGCAGCTGCTTAACAATTTAGCAGTTTTGTTTCTGTTATTCTGTCTGACTTTGAGATCTGCACATCTCCAGCATGACCCTGGGTGAAACAGCTGGTCTAGGCAGCATAGACAGGACTAACACCAAAAGACAAACCGATGGGACTAGACTAAGTAGGAGATAATTAATTTTGGTCAACTACACTTTGAAACTGATGGTATCTCATGCTGAGGAGGAGAATGTTCAGTGCAGAAAGATGTAAAAGAAACAGCACCAACTATGGCCTGTGTCTTTACTCCTCTTTTTGAAGATAATGGCACTTAGAGCTTAACATTGTCATATTTAGGAAAGCTACTCTATCTATTTTAGGTGGAAATCTTGGATAAAGACAAAGTACCTCTTCCACCAGGTTGGAACAGCCTATCTGGGTTTTCAGCACCATACACAAATACACACTTAAAGTTTATGGGCATTTTCCTTTAATTCTTTGAGATGTGAAAAAATTAAATTAGTTGCAAGAAGTTGGTCTTCTCTGTGGCCCAGATGCCGAGGATACACAATTGCATTTCAAGAAACTTACCCAGCAGCTGGCACTGAGATGAATTATTTTTTTAAGTAGGCCAGAGTCTCGGTTTGTGTGAAGTGATGGTAACAGACAGCGCCACTTTCTGTAGGTGAGGCACAGCCTGAACACAGAGGGAAGAGAGGGGACCACCTTGTTGTCAGACTCCTGGCAAATTTTCTTGCTCTATCTCCTCAGTTTGCCTGCCTGTAGAGCAGAGATAAGTTTTCCCTGGAGGAAAATCATGTATGGGAAGGGCTTTGAAGATAAAAGCCACTCTACACTCACTATTGCAGTCAGCTTTACATTAAACCAAAGCATGTCATGTTATCTGACTCTTTTATGCTGTGTGTCTCTGAGCAATTCACACATTATATCTAAAAATCAAGACCTTGGATATGCTGGTGTGTTGCCAGCACAGGGAAAACAGAGTTGTGATTCTATGCTTCACTCCAGGTTTTAGCTAACAAAAATAAGATATCGCTAATTCTTGCAGTAATAAACTTTTTTCCTTCATACTTTGGTTGCTGGAGTCATGTGAAAGACTTAGGTAGCAAGGGCCAGAGGGGAAAATGTCATCTTCCATATGATTTAATGACACTAATTGCCAAGTTGAATACTGGTGCATAAATTTAATTAGTAGAAATGTCTCAGCATTCTGTAGGGAGTCTCATTTTACTGATCAGATGACACATCATTTTGATTTAGGTTAAAAAATGTTTCCAGGCATACTGTATTTTGCTGTGTTTAGTTATGTGCATTTTGAGAAAGTAAATATAGCTTATCCTTCTCTTGAGAGTGTTTGCCTATAGTTAAAAAAATCTTATACTTTCAAGTGATCAAATACTGTCCAAACCTATTGGAGCCATCTTACATCAATTGTAAAATAGTGTAATTGGGGTTTTCTAGGACTTCCAGATCTGTTTATAGATGAGATAGGGTTTGTACAAAGGCATTATGTCCATATTAGCCAGCTGTAATAACTGAAGGAACAATCAAACTTTAAGATAATTTGTGTTCATTAAATATTTTGTGGGGGGTTGTTTTGTTTTTGGTTTTTTTTGTGGTTTGGTTTGGTTTGGTTGGGCTTTGTGTCCTTTTTCCTCTTTACAATATTAGATGATCCAGTAACTTTTACCACCTCTCATAGACAAAAGAGTAAAAGCCTCTAAAGTAGCACAAGTCAAGGACAGAAGTTGCCAACTCATAAAAAAATAGTTCTGTGGATACAGAACAAAGAAATCCTGTATGGACATACTGGAAAGAGAAGACATCTGTAATCAGAATTTGTTTGTGTGTAAGACCTAGCTGATAAGGTTAATATATTAACTTCTGTGGCTTGAAGCAGTAGCTCAGAAATGTTAAGACTGTAAAAAATGGGGACCCCACATCAAAAGAGGCTGCTCACTTGGGCTGTCTTCTGGTAGGTACCCTGAAAAAGGCTCTGCCCTTGCTGTGGGCCCTGAGGGCCATCAGGGAGGTTCTGGGTGGGTGCCCTGTGCCTTTTGCAGGACATCATGTCTTGCTATCAAAACAAGAGAGCACTGAAAGCTCCTTGGAAACTACCTATACTTCCTCATTTTTGCTTTCCTTGGAATGTTTTGCAGCTAAGGAGCATTTTGTGCCTCCTTTCTGTCCAAAGTTTCACCTGACAATGACCAAACTAATGGCAAACGAGAGAGAGGCAGTTACAGCTGAAGCAGTATCTTCAAAATGGTAAACCTGGGTTTAAACGTTCAAGGGTATGTCTACAATTGTGACTGCAGGGTGCTCTACCCTTCTTACTGAGTTAGGGTGTATCTCAAATGCTGGGGCTAAACATTGCAGTCCTGTCCTGGCTGTAGGTTCACCAGGTTCAGAACATCAGGGTATAATATTTCTCTAATTTCTGAAGTAGCTGCCTTTCTGCAGGTTTCCCAAAATATAAGAGCACAGTTTCACACTGAACAGCCTGTAGTCTGTTCATTCTCTGTCTCTCTGGATCAATGAGTGGAGCCACCCACCCCTGCTGCTCCACAACTGCCAGAGCTAATGTGGGGCACAGTGGATAGAAGACTGAAGCAAAAAAGACAGGCACTTGGGCAGGTAGAAGTATAGCATGGACCTCCTTTCTTCAAGACTTTCCAAGAAGACTTGTGAGAATTATAGGAAGAGTTTGTAGAAAAATGAAATCTCAGAGCAGTGTGCTGTGTTGTACGTCAGGTCTGCAGGATCTCTAGAATAGGTCTGATGAGTTTCATGTAAGCCAAGAAAAAAAGAAAAACCCATTTCAACTACCCAAAAGGAGGGATGTGTGTGGGGATGAGCTTAAAGAGGTTTTGTAGCCTCTGGTCTCAGATACTTTGTGCCAAGACTTACAAAACAGAAACTCAGAGTTAGTTTTTAAAGTTTTACTTAGTGGTTATTCTATCTTTTTTGGCTTGAGTATTCTTTTCTTTTAAAGTTACTGGTCTTGAGCGACCACAGAGTTACATGGCCAAGAACCTTGCTAAGGTCTTGCTTTGGGAGAAGAGCAGCATTCCATGTATTTTGCCCTGCTCATAGCTTCAGTAATTTAACAGACTGATAAAGTCAGTTGTGCAGAAACCAAAGGATGATTAAAGTAACACTGATTATTTAAGTCAGCATTTAGTCATGTTTTGAGACACTGGCCATGTTTTTAATCTGTTGGCTACATTTGGTTTCCTCCCTCCCCATTTTCCACTTGTTTTTCAGTTACTTTGGATTCAAATATTACAAATAGAGATATCTTCATAAATCTTGTTGAAAGTACAGCAAGTAAGTTTTGAATTTTTCAGCCAAATAGTTTGTTACATGAAAGTGTTGAAATAATATCCTACCTCCCAGGTTCAAGACTTCCTTTGCTATATTTTTTTCCTTGTGTTCTTAGTGTATCAGTCTGCCTTGTAAAACAGTGAGTTCCAAAGACAGAGCGCTCTCTGGGAAGCCTGGGTGGCAATAATAATAATAATATTGCTATTGTTTTTTTCTCCATGTACAAACTTGTTTCTCACATGGAAAGAACTTCATGCTTTGTTTTTATATTCTGTGGCATATCTGATCTATCTTTTGCCTCTAAACAGTTCACAGGAAAGTCTTTGTGAGCGCTCAATAGAAGGATTACAGACATTCTTGGATTTTGCAATTGTAAATGCTTTTTGATAGTGTCAGTGGTTTGCACTGATGAGTGTATTGATGACTGCTGGGAAAATGTCATGTTCTCTTACCTTGCAGTTGTAGTGATGGGCAGAATCTGGCATATATTTGGGTTGTTGTAGCCTAGATGACTTTTCAAATCCATTTAAATGTGGTCCATGACATGTGTGATCTTTCTTTGGCAGGCTTGGAATCTAGATAAATTGTGATTGTGTCTGACTATTGCAAGTTGCCAAGTTTTCCATTCCTCTTTTCATGTTGCTGTGGTTCTAATGAGAATAATGGAGTTTTGGAGCAGGTTGGTGCAGCATGACTCCACAGCATTTTTAGGGAGGGGATGCTGTTTTGGTTTTCTGGGAAGTGCTTGGTATGCTGTGGTAACCTTGCTTGAAGTGAGCTGTGTTTTGAAGAAGTGAGTGTGTTTTGAAGAACCGAGTGTGTTTTGAAGAACCAAATATGAGGTTTGTATCTCAAGAGCTCTTCACTTGCCATGTGTGACTAGGGTATGTAAAGGGAATTCAGAAGGGCTATAGAAAATTATACGAATAAGGATTCCTAAAAAAATTCTAGAAAGATTTTTCCTGCATACTTTGTAAATAAAAAGATATTGTTTATTTACAGTCTCTTCAATTCAGAATTCCTGGAGTGCTAAAGACAGTGAACAATTTCTGATTTCTGTTGTGAGAAACAGTCTCTTTAGTTCTAATGCAATGCCTGCTGTGGCCCTACAGATGACTCTCAGTAATTACTGCTGAGTCTTAATTAGTCTTGATGAGACTGATAACAGGGCTACTAAAGAAAGTTAAATCTGTCAGGAATGCCTGCAATGTTGTCAAACACTGCCAACTGACTTTTCTTCTATAAAGTTTTGGTAGGAAATAATTCTTCAAAATATCTGTTTCCAGGGTTTAAAGATGTGTTTGGACATGGCAACATTGTGGATTTCTCTTATGCACCAGCATAAATAATGTGTATTTATTTTTTTTCTCTACACCTCCTTTTGGTGAGGAGGGTTGACTTGATACCTACATGTGCAATACTAATTTTACAGATTATGTACACCTTTGTATGCTTATAAACGCATGTGGTGACTGTGCTACCAAAAGCAATCAGTTATTTTGTGGGAGTCAAGATAGGCACAGAATTATTCCTTAAATGTTGGTGCAAGGTCAGTACATTCTCAAGACATAAAGTGAACCCAAATTTCTCTTTCACAATACAATGGATTTTAATAAGCTATGTTTAGGCTTCCTGGTTGGCAAAGACAGTAGTTACACAGCTTTATTTGCTTACAATTAAAACTTAAAATGGTTGTTCTTATATAAATGCTGCTTCATAACAAATAGCAGTACAATACAAATAGCAGTAGTGCTTTGTGTGTTCTTTCATTATGGTAAAGAACAATCGCCAAATAGAGATCAAATAACTCTGTGAAAGACAAGAGTGCATTCATTGTCATTACCTGTGCACAGTGCCTTTTATTGGCGTGACTGACAGTTGAATAAATATTCATTTTGGCTATTAAAGAATCCCAATCAGCAAACTGGCCTTGTTGAACATGTTCTAATATTTATCAGTGTACTGTGACTTGAGAGATGTTTTATGACACAGTAACAAAATTTCTTCAACAGCGCTGAATGACACAGAGTGAAATTCATCCTTAAAGCACTTCTGTGCCATTCTTTGCTTCCCCATTGTTGAAGATGTGTAGGCAGCACTTAGTGGTTCTACATGTTTCTTGGGAGGGAAAACAGTGAATGTTGCTGTGTTACTGATACTACTGTTAAAACCAAGCATTACCCTAAACTTGCTCATCTCATACCACAAGAGAGATGACTAAAAAATCATTAAAAATATGAAATTTTTTGGCAATGGCATTTCTGGCAATGGCATGGACTGGCCTTGAGTAGTCAGTCTTGGCAATCAGAATCAAGTTAGCACACACCTGTGCAAACAACCTGCCAGCTGATGTGGGAAAAGAGGCAGAGGGACTGCACTGCAGGTGCTGATGAACGGGAAGCAGTCACTTTCCTGCCACAGCAATTTATTGAGCACAGATATGCCTGCAGGTCAAACCAGTACAGCTTTTATAATGGAAACCTTCATTTTTAATAGAGTGAAAAGATGGGAAACCAGAGGTGAATGAGTTTGCTAGGGTTGGGGTACTTTTTCCCTAAAAATTCTATTGCTGGCTTTTTTTCACCTTCATGTCTTTCATTTTGAAAGAGAAGTTAATACTTAAGAGAGAGTAAGTTAGTACTTACTTAATTTTCTTGGTTTGCCTTAAACAGCAGTATTTAAGCTTCTATGTGAAGGGATTTATATGTGTCACTGACTAAAATACAATATACAAAGCAAAAAATCAAACTCAGTTTAAGACTTTTTTGGTCCTTGTCCTGTGTTTCTTCTGAATGGGGATTGTGAAGTGTGTGTTGGAGTGGGAGTGCTGTGCAAGCACCATGGCTTTACTGCAGCTGCTTGACAGTATTGAACATGACTCGTGTGTCTGCACTCAGCATCAGACTAACCAACTGCATCCCCCAACCATATCTAACAGGGCCAACTTTCCAAGTTTGGAGTAAGCCCATGCAGGCTAACCCAGCTTTCCAGGCACCTGTTTTTGCCTGGCAGCACTTTTTCTGGCAGCAGAGGTTACAGCAGGCATACTGTGGCTGTTGCTGCAGCAACATATCTCCTGGGAGAAGTTGTCAGGGGACAGCAGGACACCCAACACAACAGGAGACAGCTTGACAGAATGGATGTTTTGCTCAAAACAAACATTGCTAAAGTATTTGCCAACACTATTATGTAGTAGAATTGAACACAGAGTTGAATGACCTAACCCCTAGCACTCCTGCCCTTCCACTCTTTCAGACTCTGCAAACTTGAACAATGACCAAGCTGAAGAGACTGATTCAGTATATCCCTTACTACCTCCAGCTCCTTAAGACAAATGCTGTGGTTCTTGCAAGAAGCCACTAATAAAAGGAGACCTTGTGATTTTGTTGTGTCTTCTCCTTTTTCATCAGGAGAAAGACAGTATGAGCAGGTACATATGTCCCTATCAGTCTCATTTTCATGCTACTCATCAATATCCTTGAATGTAACCTGAGATTATGGTCTGCTGGTGTTTGGCATCTATGAAATAATGTGGTGTATTCAGGATGTGAGGACAGCCAGTCATTATGCTCTTATGAATAGAATTGAGATATGTTTCCTTGAAGCAGCAGAGGTTTGGAGTTGGGAATCTAGGAGGCTGACCTTTTCCAGTCTGTGTTGAACAGCAGCCTCTAACATGAGGAAAAGGATTCAGGTGTTGAAAGGACAGATGAAAAGTTTGAGTACTTGAACAAATAGAACAGAGCAGAGCCTGATAATAGGCAAAAAGTAACATTCTTATGTGGTTCTTCACCAAAGGACTCTGATACAAGGTGGTTTTCATTCTGAAAAGCAAGCATGAGGCCAAGGATTGAATACCATATAACAGTATTGTGGTGTGTATGGTATTGGAAATGTAGGTAAAATGTGACCCAGAAATCTGCAGGTGTAACCAGAATCAATGCTGGTCTGATCACAGGCTGCATTTTCTTGGCTAGAGACCCTGTCCTTGACCATGTGATCTCTGCTCCTCTGGCCTTGCAACACACCATTTGTGCAAGCAATGGAGGAATACACAATTGGAACATTCCTCTCTTCTCACTCAGTAATTCACAAATGTGTTTGGATCTGTATGTACACAAACAGAAGACTGAGTAAGATTTCAGAACTGCTCTAAAAATGTTATTTGTTCATATGAAGCTAGGTTGTGTTTCTTATTTATTTAACTTCTATTTCAAAAGTAGGGAACTGAATTTCATATGGGAAGTCCCTATATTTTCAGACTTGTCTTGTGTGCTGGCCAAGGGGGAAGGTTTCTGGTATAGAAAGCTCTGAAGAATTTTAATTCAAGGATGTCTGTTTTATTTTTGTTTCAGTGTTAAGATACAGTTCAGTCTCCTGACCTGCTGTTCCTTTCAAACATGTTGTACTAAGGACCTCATCCTCCTCCTTTCTCCTTTTATGGTCCATGCTTCTTAGATGAGCAACAGATCCACTGAGAGCTTGATGAAGATTCAGATTGACTAACTCCTGTTAAAACAAAATCACTTAAAGTTAAGTTCTCTAAAGGAAAAATGGGGAGAATAAAAAGATTTCTAGATACCCTTCTTGTTATATAACATACATATTTTTGATGTCTTTGTTTGTTTCCATTTTTGTTGGTTTATTGCTTGTTTCCATTTTTCTTTCTTTATGAGAACTTTTCTTCCTTTCATCAAAACCAAAACCTAAAGAAAATGCTTTACCAGCTCTGTATTTTTCTGTATTCCTATGTCAACAATTAAGCTGTGATTCAAGCTGCTGGGAAAGACTAGTGGGTAGTAGACAGCAGTTTTAGATGTTTCAGGAGATTTTACTACAGGTAATAGTAACACTGTTAAGGGGATATGCAAACAATATTAAGGGACACAAGAAAATTCAAATTACATGGCATTTACCATACATGGTTTCCTGAATTTCAGGAGGGAAAGTGTAAGAAACATGAATAGTTCTCCTGAACATCTGCTGTTTCCAAAACACAAGGTTTCTTCTTGTTGGTGCCTGTTTTGAGTAGATAAGACTCTAGTGCTCTTTCCAAAACTGAAATAGTTGCTTGGGACAAAATCTGAGCTTCTGCTGCAAATTTATTTAAAAATAAATTTCCATCCATTTTGGAAGTGGTTAGGATTGCCATGTGCACTTACTGAATGGATAATTGCTAATACTGGTAAATGTTACTTTCTATAATTTATATTAAACTTATGCTGGATTCTATTGTGTTGTTTTAAGGACATGTCTGTATTCTTACTTCTTCATTTAACACTGTCTTCTCCTGCCTTACAGACTGCACTGTTTCCTCCTTTTGTTTTGTGTAAGTAATTTTCTTTAGTCTCAACAATACTTCACTGATAAGAGGCTAAGCACAAATATTTGTAACACTGAACAATGTGTGGAGTTTCTGGCACGGACAGTTCTGCCTTCTGGGCTAAAAGCAGGTGATAAAAGGAAGGGGGGGGAGGGGAATCCCCAAGCATAACAGTTTAAGATGATTCTTACTTTTGGTTTGCTGTGTCATAAACTTACTAAGGCAATCACAGAATTATACCAGCCAGGTTTGGGTTGGAAGGGACCTTAAAGATCATCTAGTTCCAATCCCCCTGCCATGGAGGGGACACCTTCCACTAGACCAGACTGCTGAGAGCCCTGCCCACCCTGTTAAACACTTACAGGGATGGGACATGCACAGCTTCTCTGGGAAACTTGTTTCAGTGTCTCAACACCCCCAAACTGAAGTAAAATTTTCAGCCTAATATCTAATCTAAACCCACCCTCATTTAAAATCTATTCTCCCATGTTCTACTGCTACATGCCCTTTTAAAAATAACAGTAATCAAAAGTTGGAGATAAATAGTTAGAGATAATTTGTCCCCAGTGCCACAACGTGAAGCTGTGTTTGCAGTTCAGAAGAATCAAATAAGATAAAATAACGCCATTTAAAAAAGACAGCTGCAGAAACTGCTGGTTTAAGTATCAAACAGTCATATTTAATGTGACTATTCTAGATGGAATTGAGATTTTATTTCCTCTAACATCCTTTCTTGAAGATCCTCAAATTAGTTTGCCTACTAATTCACAGTGTTCTTGGAGAACTCAAATTGCTTGAAAGTAGTTTGAAACCTTGAATCATGCTTGGTTTTTTCCCCTCATGATTACTGAGTAGAGAGGTGGCAAGGAGGGTAGTGTGCTGCCCGATGGCACTCCCTTGGAGTGGCAGAAGGATAACATGACCTCTGTGTTCCCAGCCGTGGGCTGCCACAGTGGATGAGGTGCTCTGTATCCAGGTTGAAAAAGCTACAGGGTGGCGGTGAGGATCTGGGAAAAGTAGATGCATAAAGTCCTCTGTGTACTTTCCCTGCGGGGGTTTTGTCATGAACATCACACACCCAGAAGCACTTACTCTGGTATTTGAGTCTTTTTAACCCCCCAGCACTGCTTAGCCCCAGGTAGCAAGCTGGCTACCTGGGTAACCTGCTTACTCCTCGTTGAGAGTCAGTAATGAGGAGTGGGTCTTTATCTCATCATGATCTTTGTTCCACACTTCACATACATTTTTATCACACGTGAAATGTTTCATACCAAAATATGTGCACCACAGGCATCTGTGAGGAAGTGTCTGCTCCTTCCCACCTGAGGAAAACTGTAGTCAAGAAAGCACAGCAGACTGCAAGAGGCAGAGGGACTTTTGTATCTTCACAGAAGCAAAGTAGTGCTTATTTTAATTAAAAAGAACAACTAGATCTGTATCCTGGATAAGAAACAAATAGATTTGGGAATAAAGATGAAATCTCTAGGACTCAATGCCTTGAGAAGGGGTTCTTTTATTCCTTAATACATGCAAATAGGTGTGTATGTAGATAGGTGAAATACTGGATGTCAGGAAAATCTGTGAGAAGTCTGTTCAAGTAAGAAAGATTGTTTTAGTTTGGCTCTCCTCAACTTTGCCCCCACATGTCATTCTACGAATTTTATAACAGGTTCTTAATTTCAGTTCTTGTTGGGAAAAATCCCCAAAATCAACACTGAGTGTTTGTACTTGTCTAGTCTTTCTGCCTGAAAAAAATAAGTTACCAATCTGAACTGAGTTAATTAATTGGAGGCACGCATCTTCTCCAGGGTACCCAAAGAGGGGTAATAGATCACACAGCATAAATGTCAGCTCTGCCACCCTGCTCTTGCTGACCTTGCAGGAGATGGGAGCTGGTGTTACTACAGACACCATGAAGACTCTGCAGAAAGATGGCAAGAGTACTTGAAACCTAAGGGTTCCCAGGAACTCTCCCATATTTTCTGCCAGGCTAGCAAAGGTAGATACAAGAAACTAAAATTTAATGTTGTATGCAGTTATGTACAATTTCAGAATTTTCCTCTGCTGTGGTTGTCAAGGGAAGTATCTCTTCTCAATTAACACAAATTCCAGAAGGATCACTGCTGTCTTCTGATACAGGGCCATCAACAGGAGGAGGAGCTACAGTGATGAGTTTCTGCCCTCTGATCCAGATGGAATCCCAAGGGTCTTCTCAAACTAGTCCCCATCTTCCTGAAATGAGTAACTGACTTCTCATGCAGAGCAAGACATGGCACTTTCTGAGCTCAGGAAAATCTTTTAGGGACGTATGAAGTCTTACCATAAAACCAGTGGAGAATATTTCATTCCTGTACACTACCTCACTGTCAGAAATGTGAGCTTTGCCTCTAGTCTGACTCTGTCTGTCATCAGCTGACAGCCAATGGATCTGGCTTCTGTGCTTTAGTTTCCCAGATTGCAATTCACCCCTTTATTATGTCTACACATAAGAGAGTTCTCTGAGGTCATTTATTTGAGATCTGTTTACTCATGACCTAAATGCTTTCAGGTTTCTTTTTTACATCCCCTCTCACTGTGCAGTGGTTTGGACCTTGGGCACTGGCACCGTATTCCTGTAGCAGTGGCTCTGGTCTATCCAGATACTGCAGTCCCATTATTCTCACCAGACCTTTGCCCAGGTGTAGGTACAGGGATGCACTTTTTCCTTTTGGCAGGATTGTGGCTTTGAATATTCACCTGCAGTTGTGTGTCCACCTCCTCTTTTTGGAGTCTCTACTTCCTAGGAAGCAAATGCGTCATGCCTACAACCACTGAGACATCAGGAAGACTGTGGCACTTAACACCAAAAAGACTCTCCTCTAATTCTTCAGTATCTTCCCATTTGCTGTTCTGCATATTTATTTTTTGTCATCTGCAAACTTTAGTAGTAGTTTTAGTAACTTTATGTGTACTAAATGGCAATCTTGATTGTTTATTTTACCTGAAAAAATAGGGAATAGAGCATGAACATCTTCAGAAGGATTTCAGTGATATGGAAAGCAGTAAAACAGTGTTGCATTTCTACCTGACAGGATACATTTAAGATCCAAACCCAGAAAGCCTTTTTGGATGTTTACCTTGCTGATGGCAGCAATATTAGACTTTATATCCAGACATCAGACACTGCAGAAAGAATATTTCATGTAATGGCTTTCTAAATTGTGTTGAAAGTTTCCATTTGAGAAGTGGAAATGAGAAGTGGAAAAAATCTAATATAATTTCAACTAGGAAAGGATAAACCTCTCTATATGAAGACATACAAGAGTATTTTCTGCGGGCTTTGAGGAGTTTATTGTACCAGTGGGATGGGAGGCATTGCTGGCTTTGCATAATGAGATTTTGGGTCTTTAGAATTGTCCACAATTAACTTCTTAATGTTACATGACTTCTGCTTCTATGGCATTTAGCTGCCAAGTTCAGGTTTCCTTCACTTATGATAGAATCAGAAAATACATAGAGACACATTCATAATTAAGCGGCCTTTGGTTTGGCATAGTGTGGGTGAAAGTTCTTGAAACTGAAGTCAGAAATTATCTAGTCTTCATTTATGTCTTGGCTGGAAGCAGCTGTTAAAACTGAGCACACAATTGATGCATCTTTCTTTTCTGCATGCTTCACTTTACTTGTTTTGTGTCCCTTGGTGCTTTCTGTGGAACTGTGTGTTTGCAGTGTTGGGGCAGTTCTAGCACCGGCTCTGGGATGTCTGTAACAGCTGTTGCAATACACACAGTAAACTACTGCTAGTTACAATTTGAAACCAGTAGCAACCACATATTGTTTACACAACTGGCTGGTTTGTGTTTGAAACTTTCAGATGGAGTTCCCTTCTTACGCCAGGAGAGGAGGAGCAGCAATGGCTCTGCCTATTTTGTGTATTCGCACATTTACGTGTGAGCAAGCAAGCAAGCAAGGCTTCTTTGGTTGCCCTCATTTCCTAATCCTAAGAGCAATAACAAAACATTCATCTGCCTGATGGGTGCTGCTCTTTGTCATGGGATTCTGAAATTTCCTCTCACTGTACTGAAAAGTGTGCACTGTGTTTCTGCTATGCCTTTGCAATCTGAGTTTGTGAAGGCAGTTCACAACTGGCCATAGGTATAAGGGAGCTGAACACATATTTGCTGTACTCTTGAGCTGATGTGTGTTAGTCCAGCCTCAGAATTTACACTATCTATACACAGGAACCATAAACTGGATAGCACAAGGTGACCCCTTGCTGGCTTTGTTCTGCGGTGGGGTTTGCACCACCTGAGGCAGTGCTGGGAAGGGTTCTTCCAGGGCAACGTATGTGTCAGAGTCAGCCTTAGACCCTGCAACAGGAGACTTGTGAGATGGGAGATGCTGAAGGCAAAACATCTTGGGGGTGGCAGGGAGATAGGAATTCTGATTTGGGGAGAGAGAAGTAGGTGCTAATAGGGTGGAAGAAATAAGGAGACACTTTTGGATAAGAAATTGTATAAGGGCCTTGAGTAAGTAAAGGATTTTCTAATATACTTTAAAAAACATTAATAATTTGTGCTTGATAAACTTATCAGTTTTCAGTGGGCCAAGGTAATTTCCAAGCCAGACAGTGGTGTTGTATATTGCTTTGTATGTTATTTTTATATTTGTTTAATGATTATGTGACACTGTGAAGAAGCAATGACACTTAAAATGCTGCAGACACCAATTCTCTTGTGGTCTTAAAGATGAAATAGGACTTTTGGAAATTATTTAGCTTTTGTCACTGTAAATTGCTACTACATTCACTGCTATTTTGTGATGGAGGTGGATTTTACAACCCTCAGTCCCTAACATTCTGGTGCTCAGACAGCATATACCAGTTTGTGCTTGGATCCAAGAAATAAAACCTTATTAAATCTGAGATGTACATTTGCCATTCCTTGGAAATGCCATCTGGTATGCTTAGCATCACACTATCAAGGGATAACACGTTAGTCTGTGGCTAGTTTCTTGAAGTAATTTGTGAGGACAGCACAGTGGCAGACAGAATAAAAGGTGATAGTCACCTTTTTGTCTTTTGTATTTGGACTTATGAAACTTTCTTCCCATCATATCTGGTGTCTGAATTGACTGTGAGACAAGTGATTTTAATGGTCTGCTGCCCTCTCTGGTAACAGTCCTGATATTAACAAGGATAAGGAAAACCTTGCTTGTGTGTTTTTTAATTTTAACTGGGAACAATTCTTTTCAACCTATATTTAGCTTGATACATTTTTCCATGCACAAAAACATGTCTGCTTTTTGAACACACAGATACAGCCGCAGGAAACCCTTCTGAACTGTGAAGATGACTTTGCAATGCTGTCACTCTGACACAAAGTTTGAAATGTTTTGGGATTGGCACACTTTGGAAGAAGAGAAACCTGACACTTCCACCTTACGCTCAGACAAAGAAAGTCCATCCTCTCTGACCAAAGCATGAGGTTGCAGGATCTGCCAGGATAGCTATGACAGCAGTATTCTCAGGACTGAAGAGATTTCTTATAATTGCCACACCATTTTCCTGAGCAAACTCAGGAGATTATGGTCACTGTGGAATTTAGGAATGCGTCCATGGTACTGCATTCTTCTAGGTTATGGCTGTTTAAACATAAGCTTTGATTTTTCAGAACCTAAACCAGAATAAGATAACTATCCCAATCAGATTCAGTGGTTAGTGGCTCACCTCTGCCTGATTTTTCTGTCCCACTATCTCATTGTGCAATATTGTCTGCATTTTCTGTTGGTGCTACTTCTATCCTCTTTCAAAGAAGATGTAGAGAGGCCACAGCAAACTAAAAGCAATCCATTCATAAAGCCAGATAGGGTTTTTCCTCCTTACACACTGTAGATAATGGAAGTTCAACAGAGCTCAAGTCTGCTCTTGTCAGAAGCCTTCCCTTAGCCCTCCCTTGGATTTTTATTGTTGTTGGCTGCAGTGACTGAATCTGAAGTCTGAAAAAGGCTTGCATGATCCTTCTAAGGTTAAAAGATCCATCTGGTCTGATAAATTCCCTCAAGCTCTCCCTCTACATCTTGGAAAGTCTGGCAGTGGGGAACAACTAACAACAACAAAGTATGGCAAGAAAGAGGGTGGTGTAGGGGTAAGACTTTCACATATGAATATCATCCCTTTGAGTTTACAGGTCACGTAGCAACTCTACCACACAGGAACTCTTGCGTGTGTATTCTAGGTAGGCATTTAATTGGATGGCCATACCTACATGAAACAGTTCTTAATTTACAGTTCACATGCTGAGTTTAACAATAGGACAGGAAGCTCTCTTGTTATACTTATAAACAATGTCTCTAGCTTACTTTCCTTTATATAATTATGTGTTTCTTTTCTTAACTGCCAGTAACTGAAGTTTGACCACAGTGTTATTAAACAAGCTGTAAATCAGGTTTGTGAGTGTCTTTATGATCATAAAATGTGAAGAGGCTTTTGCATCCTCATTGGTCTGCTAATGTCCTGTTTCCCATGTGGGTGGGTACATGAGGATGAGGCAGGATCCAGGCCTGTGACTGGGATAGGCTCAGGCCACATCAGGACAGTGAACAGTCTTTGCTGTTGACTGGAGTTAGGCATTGCAGTTATTTATATTTTTTCAGTCTTTTTATTGGCATAGAGATGTCAGTGCTCTTCTGAATGTTTTAAAATGAAGGTCCAGTTACTACTGGACTTACAAAGGAACTCAGGCTTACTTAGTGAGGTAGGAACTTTACAGTCTGTGTTTATTTTATTTATTATTCCCTTACCCTCTTCATTCTGCTGTGAAAGGTATCTCTGAGTATACAGTTGGCAGTTACTACATCTCAAATGTATCTTCCAGAGCAGTTTCAGATGGATTTATTTTTGCCTTGTACTGTGATATGATCAGATACACAGGAGAATAGAAAAGTTTTTCAGTTTATTACATTTCTATGTATCTTTGATAATCCTCAAAAATACATCAAGTCCTAATATAACCCACATTTCAAAAAATGTTTAGATGCTCACAGGCTTAAAAAGGTATGTTTTAGTGTTCTGCTGAATCACGCTATCAGCTTAGAATTAAATATTTACAGATTTGAGCCTTTAGAGTTATATTTTTTTTAAAAGTAAGCAGAAAACTAGTGATCTCTGAAGAGTGACATGCTTTTCTTTCTGTACATTGACATTTTATACAACATGTCTGGTGATCTGTTCCAGAAAATTTCCAGTCCTGGAAGTTTCCATCCATGTGTCCTATAACATCTATCATGCTTAGCTGTGTTTCGAGTGAAGGCTACAAGACTGTAGTCTCAGGGAGTAGAGATGTTCTGTAATTAGTAGAGCTTGGTCTGTTCTGTAAGCTTAGACTCAGAGAAAAGGGGAAGATAACTAGCTTGTCACCCAGAATCTGTTTTGTTTTTCTTCTCTAAAAGCACATTGCTAGCCAGCAAAAACTGATACATGAAAGTAGTTTAGCTATTTCGCTAGATTTCACCAAATGTCTCTGTGGTTTCTTTTCCCAGTAGCGGAAAAACTGGCAGAACTTGAACTTCCTTATGTGAGATTTCAGAGCATGAAGGAGTTGCACTCTAAGCTTGGGATCAGAAAGTGGTGAGCTTAACTGAAACTACTAAGATGCATGATAACTACTATAAGCAGGAAAGAAATTCCTTGAATAACTTAGTTACAAAGCCTTCAAGCTTCAGCAATTTTTAATTGGAATTGACTGGTTTCTGTGGTGTTGTATGTTTTAAATTTTAGCACTGTGGTATCCCTGAAGGGTCCTTTATTGTAGTTAGCTATTTATTCCCTTCCTCTTTCACAATCTAGAGAGGTGTTTTGTGACTCCTTGCCTCCTAATAGTTATACTTGCACAATGCAGTGACCACAAATAAAAATATACCCTTAAACAATGTAGAAGAGAACTTTGAGTTCTGCGTTGCAAGCTGCCCCTCTGGGCAGAGGTGGATTACTTTTTATCTGAAGTGCTTATCTATACACTAATATACATAATACCCGAGGCCATAGCTTGAGCATTTCTTTTAGTAAGTGGCCTGGCTTAAACAGCAGAGCACTCTTTCCTTTGCTTGTTCCTTGGGCTACTCCTTTATTATGCTGGTGGGATTGTGTGGGCAAACATTGGTGAACTGGACTGGTGAGCTAACCTAGTCTAAAAATACTGGGTTTTTATTTTTATTTGGTTTTGATGGCCTGTTTTTGGCCTGAGTCAGTCCCCTGGTTCTTTTTGCTGTGCAGCAAATGGTAATGCTGACTTGTGGGTGAGGATAAACCCTGAGGATGGGGAGCCTGGTGCCAAGGTCCCATTTGTCAGAGTGCCCCGAGGGGGCAGTTAGGCAGTAGAGCAGGGCCAGTCTAATGGCTGCCTGCTGTGGTTGTGCTCAGGTCTACTTCTCCCTACAATGAAAAAGAAAAAAACAAATATATTTTTGCTTGCTTAGTGAGTGGTATTGATTGCAGCAGATAAATGAATGGAGTGGAAGAGGAAGAACAGATCATGTCTTTTGGTGGCAGCAAGGAAACGTACACAGAAACTTTGATGCTGGTAACTTGTCTGGTTTAAATCTACTGCATTAGAGCTCGCCCTCTACAAATATTTCTCTCTTTCCCTGTATGTGCCTTTATGAACTACAGAACTAGCAATCCAGTGAAAGAACTGCATGGTTTTCAGCTATGGCAAACTGAGTAGATACTTCTCCATTCAGCACTGCTCCAAGCCCAGCATAGGAAATGATGAATGTCTGGGCTGCAAGACCCAGCATAGTGCGAGCGATACATCCGTACTGGCCATGGAACCTGCGCTGCTCCAGTTGTATGATTGTGGAGATTTACCCAGTTGCTTTAAAGCAAAGGGGTCAGCCCCCAGCACGTGGATAACTGAGTGTGCAATTTGCTTTGCTGCTGCACTGAGCTCAGCCTGCCAGACCTTCACAGTGCTTGATGCTGCAGCTCGCTGGCTTCAGGGTAGGTCTTGCATGCCAGAACTGCAGCGTGGCAGTGGCTGCTCTAGCAGCCTTACCAACTACTGTGTAGAGTTGTTCGAGAAAAGGAGGAAAAGGTGTTAGTTCTATATTGTAATTTACATGTTTGGTACCACCAAAATCAGTGGAGAGATTGGATAACCTCCGTTATCCCAGTTTATTTCCAGTCTGCTACAATGCATAAGGAATGAGTACAGGACACGTCTCAAGATCACATCTGTTGTTTGATTTGGTGTTTTTTAATCTGGTAAGTAATGAAATCTTTCTGGATTTGACTTCCATTTTATTTAGCTGAAAAATTCAAACAACCATTCAACAGAAGAATTTCTTCATGTTTTATTACTTTTTTTTCCCCTTGGCTTGGGAAAGTTGTATGGATCCTTTTTTCAATACACTGCTGATGGATTGTAGAATTTCACTGGACTTGCTACATACACAGGTAAAACTGAAAGGACTTTGTAATCTTAAAGATGACCTTTCCCACATTAATTTAATCTTCTATATAAATTCTTGACATATTTATAAATAGTTCTTGTTAGCACTGATTTGTGCCACTTTTCTAAGTGCCAGATATAGCTGTTGTTGGTAGGGAGCATGTTGGTGTTTTGGGTTTTTTTTCTCTTTCAAACCCTTATATTAGAGATTCTAACTCACCTATGGCTGAGGCATAGGAAAAATATTACACAAAAAGGACACATTTAGGTATCTATCCACTGTATTTTCAAGGTGATAATGTATCCTAATGTTCCTAATATGTAGGCATTCTGCAATCATATGAGAGCATAGGTGAACTGTAAGTTTGTTCTACACAGAGCTTTGGAAACTATTAATTCATGAGTAAAGAACAGTGTAGAGTGAACTTTTCCTAAAATCAAAGGCTTTGTTTAAAAACCAAAATAAACCTCAAGCTTTCTATTTCTATTTCTGAGTGTTTATGTGAAAGGAAATACATGTTTGCTGAATTTTTCTGCTAACTTTAAAAATTCTTTTAAGGCATTCCAGGAAGTTAAGAGGAATTGGGTTAAACCAACAGACAAGCAGATGCAGCAACTTCAATTTCTACAAAAATGTAAACAAAGCAAAGGTAAAACAGTATGTAAAAAACCAATCAAAACAAATCAAATAAGTGGGTTTTTTTAAGAAACTATACTAGGGGCTGTGACTTCAAAAACAGAGCATGGTTTTGTGGAGTCATTTGAACTAGAGAGCCAGGTCTCCCATCTTCTGGTCAGATACTGAACCAACAAATAGAAAAGGAGATTCCAATCTCCGTTAATATTTTTTAAAAATTCCAACAGAATGAGCTGGACCTCAAGGGTTAACAAGAAGTATTTGATTAAATGCTATCATTCTCTCCAAAACTCAGGTGCAAAAGTTTGTCATTTAGGCAACCAGATGAAAATTTGGATTGCTGGGTCTGTTGTTCACAGTATTTCTTACTTGTTAGCTTTATCTCTTAGTATTATCATATCTGCTAATCATCCAAAAGACCCATCTCATCATATCCTGTTAAAAAAAATGAAAAAAAGTTTTTTACTCTGGACTATAAGCACTATTCTCTGAATCAAGCACTGACCTATTATTGTGTCAATCTGTGTCCTTCCAGAAGAAAGAGCATTAGGAAGTTTAAATATTTGTCCTATAGCCCTCTTTCTTTCAGTTTCTTTTTTTTCTTTTTTCTTATTTTTCTTCTCCAAATCACTAGACCTACTTGTCGTTACAGCAAATTGTGTTAGTTCTGTCTCTTTGGTGCAGTTCCTGATGCAGATTTGAGAAATGCAGTTCTATGGTACATACAGCTAGATGTTTGATCCTTTTATTTGTGACTATCCAAAAGAAAGCTGCTCAGCTGACACCCATGTTGACAATTATGAGATTGATGCATGACACTGCCTACTAACAAATTAGAGGTTAGCTTTAAAATCAACAGGTGAAGAATTTGGAAGGTTACTTCTGTTGTAAGTACTTCACTCTCTTTGTATCTATATTCATTTCCTCTTCATGAAAAATAAGGTTGGAAGGCCTGGGGAGAAGGGGGTGATGTTTTTTAAAGCTCTTCCAATTGCCCATATTCTCCTCCAAATCTATTCTGAAACATATTCCCTTGGCAGCCTTTTCAGCAGTGAAACATCTTGCCTTACTCTGCCCTTTTCTTCCTTTCCTAGCATTCCATGTCATGCTTTACCTGCCCCTTTCCTTTCCTTTCGAAGGTAGGGTTGTCACAGTTTTGTGTGGGAGCAAAATAACTGCTTTAGCCAGCTTTATGCTTGCAAAGACTCCCCCTTACTACCTCCCACTTGCTCCCTCCCACAGGGAAAGTGTTCTGGTAGAGATTTCAGCTGTTTTATTTGTATATATATAAAATGAACCTAATTGACTGATTCTGATTTAAGGCTGGATACATTAATGCTGTTTTAGCTGCTCCCTCTGTTCATCGGCTGGAAGGTTTTTGTTTGGTTTTTCTGTTTGTTTGATTTTCCAGGGTATACAAAGGATGCCAAAGAAGCTTGGATAGACTGGAGCTCCGATTTGAGTACAAGGACTCAGGCACATGAAACTGGATAATTTTGTACACAAAACAGGTTATTTCTCAATCCTTTTAGGAAAGGATCAGAGTAAAATGTAATCTTGCAGGGTTAGTCATGCTGAGACTGGGCCATAAGGAACTGCAGTTTGTTTGTTGCACTATAAGGATGTTAAGAACAAGGTAAAATTAACTGAGTCAGGAAATGATAGTTCAGTTGTTAGGGACTGTAATTTTCTCCTGGAGAAGGAATGGAAGAGTCAAGTACATAATTCTGAAAAAATCAGAAAGTTCTCTGGTTTATTCTCTTTAGACCTTTGTGTTCAGTAGCTGCTTGAAGAAAATGGTATCAGAACAGATTATGAAGGCAGCCAAAGGCCAATAAATGGTGAGCATATGTGTCGGTATAGGAATTTGTATTTAATATGAGATAACACTGCTACTCTATCACTCTTACAACTGTGCTGAGAGAAGTACCATTGAGGAAAAGTATCTTGCACATTCCAAAATTTCACTCCAGAATTAATTGACTAAAAAGAACATCTTTGCTCAATTTTACTGAAATAAATTTATGAATGTTAGAAGGTTTATCATCACAGCTTTAATAATATGTTTTACATTCTCTCTCCTTGACTTTGACTTTTTCTGACTATGGTAAAGGGTATAGATGGTATAATTTTTTGAATGTTCTGCACTACCCTGTTGTATCCATTTCTGGCTTTCAGTTTTTCCCCACTTCACTTGCTTGCTCCATCTGCTGCAATGTTAGACCAAATTGAGATCTGTGGCATTCACACAGAGAAAATTTTTTATTTTAAATAGAAGTCTTAATAAACTAAGTGTCTGATTTGTAGCTAAAATACTTCTGTCTTTTGTGTGGGCCTTTCAGCATGGAAGGATGTTTAGATATTTGATATTTTTAAAAATCATTTCCAGCATTAGTAATGTCTTTATTTAACCTTGTGATATCTAAAGACTTTGTCTGCCAACTGAAAATGTCTGAAGAGGATAAACGAAAGGACCATGTGTAATCTTCTAGGCCCATGCTGACTAGAGCAAGCAATAATGCAATGAACAGCATGTTATTTCATAGCTTTAAACTCTAACGGATTCAGAAGAGAAGACCAATTTTAATCTTGGGAAAGATTAGATCTCTTTATTTCTAAATGTATTTGTAATGAAAGTAAACTTTTAATTATGAAGATTAGCATTCACTATGTAACTAATCAGCTGTGGATTGTAGCTTGTACCAAAACAGAGAATTATGAGAGAAGGGCCACTATTCCAGTTCATTTCTTACACCTTTGCTGCTGGGTGTAACTGAATGCTGATTTGCTCAGTGTATTTTGTTACAGTACTTAGAAGAGCATTTCAGCTTATTCTCAATTTACATTTGTAAATCTGTTCTGGAGATCAAGATGCCTGAATAGATGAAAAATAGTAAGAAATCCAGCATCGAACAAAAACAGGTTAGTGAGTGAGAAATTGTGTCAAAATATAAATACAGTATGTCCTTGCTTGTGTTGTTTAACCCAACCTCTGTTTTTCTGGTTAAGAAAACTTCTAAAAAATTTAGTAAGAGCTTCTTTGGGTAGGAAAAGGAATAAAACTTGAAATTTTGGGAGGATGAAGAGGGCAAGAAACATGTCTGAATAAAAAAAAATATTTTAGCTTGATGATTCAACAACTTGCTTCATTTTATTTGCTTATGGCAAGTATTTCTGAATGACATATTTAAAATTTACAGAAGGACAGAATGTATATGGAGATCAGGTATGTATATCTGCATGCACCTGCTGATATATTTTAGACTTGCACTTAGATTCCACACTAGGATTGTTTGTGCATTTGTTTTTCTCTCTGGTTGGGAATCATACTGATTTGGAAAATCTGACATGCTACATATCCATACACAGAAATTCTCATCACATAAAAGATGCAATTCCAAGTTCATTTGCAGGAATCAGTATCCATTGAAGATAGTTCCTGAACAGCTAAATGACTAAAAGATGTTGCTCTTTCAAGTCATTTGTTGAATGAAAGGGAATAACATAAAGTGAATTAAAATAAATACCTCTATTACAGTGTGTGATTGGCTGAAGAAAAGTGTTTCTAAAAGAAAAATATTTATAAAAACTCAGTATGAATTCAGAATAAAAGTGATGTTGCTGTACCTTTAGAAACCATAAAACCAATCACTAATTGCTCTTCAATAAGCAAATTGATTAAACTGCGTGGTGGGTTCTCTTGCCCCTTTCTTCAAAGTGCTCTGTACTTGCTACTGCTGGAGATGAGATTCTAGGCTAGGTGGGGCCTTCAGCATTCACAAATAACTTGCAAATGATATTAAGAGAGGCAACATTTTCTGACTAGAAGTGCACCTGTGCTGGAGACTGAAGGATGTGGTTTAGTGGTGTTGCTGCAGCAAAGCTTTAGCAAGGACTAAGTTCTGTGGCAGTCTGGGCTTGAGGCCATTGGTCTGACCTTAACATATTTAAAATATTTTTTTAAAAGAGAAGAACAGCCTTGGACAGGGCAGCAGAAAATCCCTGAGTTTATCAGCTGTGTCTGGCTGCTGATGCAAAACTCAGTGAGCTGAAAAAATTAAAGCTGATAATTAGAACAGAGCTGTTAAAGCAAATCACGTATGATCTTGTGTTAAACAGTGATAGTATGGAACGGTATATGTCATTTTTTACAGAAATTTGAAGTTGCTTATGTCTTCATATATCAAGCTGTGTTTTTAGAGAATTGATATCAAATCTTAAACCATGCATAGCTAGCTTCTAGATGTTTTGACCAAAATATTAAGGATTTCCTCTGCTATTTCTCTATTTTTTTTGCAAGATGCTTGAAAAATGTAGTAAAAGTTTATCTTTTGTACATGCTCATTTGAAAAAACATTGAGTTGGGTCTTTATAATTTTGGCATTAGAATCCCCAAGAGACTTATAAATCTTTGCTCTGAGTTGGGGAAAAGTTTAACTGGTGCTGTCGAAAGACTGAAAACTTACTGCTGACTCATGAGAAAAACATAATTTTTATTTTGTTCCTGATAATGTAGGAGTACATAATACAGCTAGCTTAGCATAACAGCCTGAAAATTCTTGTCTGAATACACAGCCTAGTGCAGCAATAAGATTTAGTAGGAAAATGAGAAGCATAGGTGTACTTTGCAGAAAGCAAGGCTGTGATGTAGAAGTGCCTGCACCTAGGCAATTCTGCTGTTATGTCTTTTGGAAGTCTTGAAACAGGCATGAAATAATTTCTACAGAGATAATGTATGCAAAACCTGGTTCCAGCTTCCTAATGCCTTAATGTTAGTTATTGCAGCATGGTTACCATAGCTTCATGATAGACACTTTCATTAGATTTTCAGGACATTTACTTTACAAGCATATATCAGGAAGATAAATCAGTGCCATAAATTTTCCTAATAAAACAGAAAAGTGCAGATACAGGCAATGGAACAGTATAATTTGCCTGCTTATACCTGCCAGATGATATGGTATCGAGAAGCTTCAGACAGTACTTGGTAGCCTTTAGGAAAAGTAGAGTTGAAAGGTAGCATTTATGCAGTTATGGTTAAAGAATGTGTGATTAACAGAAGTCAATCTAATTCAGAAGGCCTATTAGGCAGTTAAAGTACCTGCATATATATCCTTGTGGATATATATATATATGTGTGTGTTATTCCAAATTACATTGATGTTGGCACATTTGGGAACTGCTGTTCAATCCACACATACAGTACATTGTAATAAGCCTTGAGCAGAAACAACTGTTCTTGTGTTCTATTCCAGTAGGAAAAAAAATTTCTGTTCTCTCTGAAAAATGCCAGAGATCAACCTGAACTATATTACGTGAGATTTTTTAGCTTGTTTGTATTTATCTATAATTATTGAAATGCATATGCCCTTCAAACTGTTTGTTTGTTCCACTGCATGTAGTTCCTTTGGGTTGTATCTCAAGGAAGAGATTTTTAGTCAAGCCAAATGAAGATGACTGTGTATTTGAGAAAATAAGTGAAGATCACCTCAATAGTTTATTTTAGATACTGTCTTTCAAAATGAATTGTCTGAAAATAATAAACCCATTGTTGAAGCCTTGAATTATAAATAAAAAAAAAACAAAACAAAAAACCAAACCAAAACCAAAAATCTTCACTGTAATTCCTTGCCTGTGCACTGTTCTTTAGAGATTTTACAAATCTAGTTACTAGTGTTATAAATGCAAAGGCAGATTTGGGTTAAATAAAAACAATTTATTATAAAACAATTTTTATAAAAAAATAAACAATGAGGGAAAACCACAATAAAACAAACAGCGCAGCGCTGGGTGGACAGGGGTCTATACCCAAAGGTATAGGTGTTCCCAAATCCACGAAGGAGGGTAAACTGTCCGGGGTTTTTATAGGGATTTTTAGCCTTGAGGCCAAATTCCAGGCAGGCACCATTCATCAACAGTCCTTGATTGTCGTATGAATTGATTTCCTGGCGTTGGAGAATAGAGTCGAATGGACGTCCGGACCGAGTCTCCTCATATGTAAAGAAGTTCTGAGTGGCTCTTGTGGTTCAGGCCATCCGGATGGGATGGCTGGATCCGGGTTGGAGCCGATGGATATTTCGGCTGGATTTTTCCTTTTGTTTACCTGATGGCTTCCCCTAACGGTAGCCTGCAAGGCGGGGTGTTCAGGTCCGGTGATGAATATCTCGTCGGAGCCTCTCCGTTTTGGCTTGATGTTTCGTGTCTTGTCTATTCTTCCCCGTTGATGGTCACCGAGCCTGTCCTTGTCAGTTTGAGGAGTTTTTTTTTTTCTGTCAGCTTGATGGGCCGTGTCCTGTCTATTCTTTTTTGTTGATGGGCGCCGGCTAGGATCGTTATCCTTTGAGTGGGAATTCGTGGCTAGATCTGGGAAGGGCTTGTGTGTCATACTGTACTTTATATTTTATATCATTATTGTTATATACATTTATTTAGATTTCTACGAATTTTTACAAGTTCATTTCTCACACTAGTGAGAATGGGTGCTGAGACTCTGCTTTTTTTGTTTTCCCTTTCCCCAGACACTGTTCGAGCAGAAAGGGGAGGGTTGACAGGAAAAGATGCTACTCTATTAGCAAGGAAAAAGTATTTACACATCAGTTTCTAATGTTTCTGTGAATGCAATTAGTGTGATGGTTGAGCAGGCTACTGCCACCTAGGCATTTTCGGGGAAAGGCATGCATTTCCTCTAATCTTTCCAAGCAGACCAGACTGTTGTGGTTCGTTTACTGACCTGCTGAGGTATGATCCATCCAAAAAAAAAGCTACACTAATATTTTGGGTGAAGTCAAATAACTGCAGCCCCCACCCTTTCTCCCCTCTCACCCCTGCTCCCATTCATTTATACTCAGAACCTTGGTGCTGAGGCGAGGTGGGGACAGAGGCACTGTACTTTTGCCTGAATGTTTAGCTTGCTGATTTTTGTGGGTTTACAGGGATAGCACACACAGCGTCAAAATCGCAGAATCACAGAATCAGTTAGGTTGGAAAAGTTGTCTGAGATCGAGTCCAACCTCTGCCCGAATACCACCCCATCAACCACACCATGGTCCAGTCTTAAACTCTTTAAACATGTCCAGGGCTGGAGACTCTCCCACCTCCCTGGGCAGTGTCTAATCACCCTTTCTGTGAAGAAATTCCTCCAAATGTCCAATCGCAACTACCCTGGCACAGCTTGAGGCGGTATCTTCTTGTGCTGTCACTTGTTACCTATGAGAAGAGCCCGACCCCCCGGCTGCAGCCTCCTCTCAGGGAGCTGTAGAGAGCGATGAGGGCACACCCGAGCCTCCTTCGCTCCCTCAGCTGCGCCTCACGGGACTTGTGCTCCGGACCCTTCCCCAGCTCCGTTGTACTTCTCTGGACTCGCTCCAGCTCCTGAAAGTCCTTCCCGAACTGAGGGGCCCAGAACTGAGCCCAGTACTCGAGGAGTGGCGTCACCAGAACCGAGTACGGGGAGACAATCACTGCCCTGTTCCTGCTGGCCGCGCTATTCCTGATTGCCCGGGCTCGGTCCCGTCCCTGCGCCCGGCCAAAAGCGCCGTGAGGGGGCGGATGGTCACGGGGCGCCCGGCGGCCTCCGCCCAGCAGGGGGCGCCCTCGCCCGCCCCGCCGCACGGCCGCTCGCTCCGCCCGGCCCCGCGCGCCCCCCGAGAGCCCCGCGCAGGTACGGCGGGAACGGGGCCGGGACCCCGCGGGGCCGGGGCGGCGGCGGGAGGCCTGGGAGGGCACGCCACGGTACGGCAGGGTGCTGTCACCGCCGACAGGCCTGTGCCAGGCCGGGGGGGGGGAGCCGGGGACGGGCCCTGGGCAGGGCCCGGCCCGGGAACCGGAGAGGTGGAGCGCTGCGATGCCGTTCGGTGGGAGAACAGCGGGAGCAGTGCCGGCCTTCGCGGGAGGGGAGGGAAACGGGGACGCGGCCGCGGCCGCCCTGCTGACAGGGCATTGGTAAGTGAGCGGCTTTGAACGTGCTTCCTAGGAGAAAACAAGGTAAGTGAAACTGAAATACATATTTTAACCTGCTGTCATAACTATCTTTGATGAAGCAATTACTGTTTTTAAGGGAAATGGAGTAGTTCCCTTTTTTATTTTCTAGACCACACTAAAGCTGCTGCACGTTGTTATTGTGGTGAAAAGGTAGGGATAATACTTGAATTGTAGACAGGCTAGGGAAGTAACTGGAGACAAACTATGGTGAATAATACTGAATCAAAAATCCATCAAATCTGAGTATCAGAGGGTATAAAATTAGTTCTTTGAAGGTCAGTCTTGAGACCAATCTTACTAAACATTTAATAGAGGTTTTGATGTAGCAATTAAAACTTTACTGCCGTAATTTGGTAGTGATGAAGAGTTGGGAGGCACTGACCGTATGGAAGAGAGTTACAGTACTATGTAGAAAGAATTGGGTGATCCTGAGAACTAGGGTATGGAGTAAGGTCAATAACAATTTAAAGAATGACTGTTTTGAGGTGTAAACTTGCAAACAAAAAAATTGTAGAAGAAATTATTACCAGTTGAAAGCAACACAAAACCAAAGAAAGTTAGGTAGTTACAAGATACTTAATTGCAGAAAGAGTAAATGCTGACTACAGCAATCCAGTTAAGGGAGTTACTATTATCCATGAACAAAACTCTAGAATTCTTTGTATAATGTTAATCATTCTCAGCAAAAAAAAAATGGAACAGAAACAGGAAGATATGCCGAGGTCAAGTAGGGAAATTATGAGTTTGTTGGAAGAGATATTTGGCTTTTTTATATTTTGCATAATAATTGCAATTTTGCTTTCTGTTTAACCATCAAGGCAAACACTGTGAGGAAAATAAATTGACCTGAAGCATGATGTTAATACATGAATATTTAACATAGATTTTAAGTTTAATAAAATATGAAAATTTCTAACCATGAGAGACCACTGATATTCAGGACCAGCCTTCCAAAAGGTCAAGGAAGAGCAAAAACTGAACACTTGTTAAATGGAATGAGACTGGTTTGTAAAAATAATATTTTTTTTTGCTGCAGCAGAGGCCTAAGCTTAGTGGTACCTGTAAACTATAGATCAGTTTTTCTTTTTTGTTTGTGAAATAGGTTATTAGCAAGAACTTGTTAAATTGTTTTTTAGAAGAAAAAAACTTATACAGTGTTTGCAGTCTGAATACTAGAGTTGTTGACAATCAGGGAATGACAATGGCTAATTGCTGTCTGTTTTGTGTTGAAGAAAAGGTGTAACGAGTAAGCCAAGATGAGTTGAAGGTTGAAGTGTAGTATGTGCATCTGCAGTCTTCTTACCATTGCAGTGTGAGTTGCAAGAGGGGACTCTAAAATTCAGTTCTGATCTGTAATCAGTGACACGTTTCCTCTCTAGATTTTGGTGTCCTTTAGTTAAAGTCGTCTCATCAGGAAGAGTGAGGGGTTTGAAGCAGTGCTTTAAGTTAATTGTGTTACCTCACATTCTTTTGAGCTTAGTGTTAGAGCACTTACGGCCTTGAAGTCCTCATCTGCAGCTCAGGACCTGAGATACTTGGTTGTCCAAGGAGTGAACTGCTACTTGAGGCTCTTCTAGGGATTTGGGTGTGCTGGAATTTTGAGGGCTGCTACTCTTTTCTTTTGGTCAGTCTGTCAGTTAATATCTCCCCACATGATCTCAAGCTATGGATGTTCCACTTCCAGATAGATTAGTTAATAAGCATATAAGATATTTTAGAAGGCTTTGGTTTATACATGTTATGTGAAATATGTGATCCCTGAAGCATTGAGCTTTCTGGAGAGACCATCCATAGAATGCTGTTAGAGTAGGTGACAGGCCTCTCTTGAGTGCTTGGGCTTGTTCCACCAAATTTCCATTGTGAGTGTTTATTGTCTTTGTAAGTTAAGAGCACAGATACTTGAAATGGTCAGTTTTGTTGTGGTTTACTTTGCTATTTAAAGATGATACTTACTAAATATGTGGGATAAAAGGTTTTATCTTGTGCAGTCCCCCACTGCAAGCTTGTCTGTACTTAGAGGACCTAGATTCTGCCTTTCATTCATATATCAACACCACTTTTCCAAGTGGCATTTTTTCTTTTACTTTATCAATAAAATTTCAATTCCTGAGAGGAACAGCGCTGCTTAAACACCAGTTTTGTCAGTCAGCAAATTTCTGACATCCAAGTAATGCAGCTACATTATCTGAATTTTATAATATAAAGTCAAAGGTATAAATGCTGTAATGCTCATTGATTATACTCCTCAGCCTGCTCAAGACCTCTTAGAGTGTCTGACTAGCAGTAGGGGATGGTGACAGAAAAAGGGCAGCAGTATATTTCAGGAAAGACTTGGGTGTATGGGCTTCCTATGGGTGGTGTAAAGTGCTTGTCTGTCTTCTTCACTTCAGAGTTTTTTATCCACAGAAGAATATGCCTGTCCATGTTATGTAAGTACCTTAGGGGCTGTTTCTCTCTGGGATTAGGTACATCTTCAGAGTTTTGCTACATCCAAGGCTCATCAGCTTTTACTCAGGGTTATTGAGT